TCATCATCATCATCATCATCATCATCATCATCATCATCATCATCATCATCATCATCATCATCATCATCATCATCATCATCATCATCATCATCATCATCATCATCATCATCATCATCATCATCATCATCATCATCATCATCATCATCATCATCATCATCATCATCATCATCATCATCATCATCATCATCATCATCATCATCATCATCATCAGCGTCGTCAACGTCGTTATACACATTAGCTAGAGCTATTTGTGAAGCAGAGTCAAACTGCAGTATTGTGCGTCTCAGCTGTTGTCAAAATGGCGTCAAAGCACGATACTAGTTTTTGACGATGTTCCGCGGCCGTGCAACGACAGGTAGCGGTTACAGGTAAGCTAGGATAATGTAAGAGAATCCAAACGCATGCGAGGGTGGAAATCCGGACGTGGAGACTACGCTTACAGGCCAAAATGGCGAACTGTAACACATTTGATGTCATATCCATGAGGAATTAGTGGCATCCAGTTCCGGCTTTGTCTGTCAATGCAGCCTCCATGGGACAGCTACAGCATGCCTGCGCACATAAAACGGCTAGCACTGCACCACCCACAGCCCCGCCCATATACCCCATATCCAGTGTAAACCAGAAGGAATAAGAAAAGGAGGTATGTGAATGGAAAGCCAACTTTCAACAACGTAGCCGGCCCACGCTCCTTCAACAAGCAGAGCAAGAGCATTTATGTGTAAGTTGGAAATCAAACGTAGCAGACGTACACACAGCGGTGTCTGAGAGACGTGGGACGTTCCACATTGGATGCATGGAACCACTCTTTGAGCCTATGCATGAGAGAGTAACCAGTAATCTACCATTTAATAGTGTGGATCAAAGAGAGGCAGATTCTGAGTAAAGAATTCGTTTCTGTAACTCTCATCAGACTCAAACTTTACATGATGAGGATTACGTGCTAAATGTGCAGGATAGGGAAGTGTATTGATTAGAATGTTTAATTCCAACGAAGGCTGTGAGGTCATTGAAAGCCTTTAATGACGCATCCGAATCTACAATTCACCTGTCCGCATGAGTCCGGAAAAGGATTACAGTTCCTGGACGCTGAAATTATGGGAAACACTGATGGATCGTGCAGCAGAGAAGTGTATAGAAAATCAACTTGGACTGGATAGTACACTAACTCCTATAGTGTGGTACCACTACAGTACAAGCGAAATCTAGTCCGTACTTTTGCCTTCGGGGCACGCAGAATTTGTACAGTGGACACCATCGTCAAGGAATTTCAGAGAATCAGTGACGCTCTAAGAGCAAATGGGTATCCAGATAAATACATCCCCAAGCATTTAAAAGAACGCAAGATAAAACCACCGAGGATGAATGTACCCAAGGAAGAACTCATTGTGCACTTTCCTTTCAAAGGCGGCAGCACGGTTGATCCCCTGTCCAAACGCCTGAAAGACGCCGTTGAAAAGACTAATTACGCGGCTCGCCTACGCATAGTATGCTACGACAAGGTTTCATTCGCAAGACCTTTGAAAGACAGGCTACCTCCGTTGACTCGATCAATGATTGCTCCTGTGGTGCACTATATGTAGGTCGTACCACGAGCCGCCTATCACATAGGATTCGAGAACATATTCTGAAGTGGTTTTACATAGACGAAGCGAGGTCTTGTAGTAGCTCCATCATGTCGCACCCCTTAGAGTGTGGTCACGCAGGAACGGAAAACAACTTCAGAGTCATCTACTATATTTCTGAGCGATTCTCGCGCGGATTCCGGAAGCAACCTTATCTATTGCGTAAGCTATCTATTTCCGCCATCACAAGTCGAAGTTGTGTGCACGAAAACAGTTTGTACGCCCATTACTTCTACCGTGGCCTACAACTTCCTTTGGTTTATGCCCCACTTAATCTTTGTTTATGAAAATGACTTGCCCCTGTACATAATCTGCTACCTTCTGTGATCGTACGACGTATTGATTCGTTTCCTTTGGAATCAAACATTCTAATCAATAAGCAGCCCTATCTGGCACATGTAGCACGTCGGATGAGAGTTACTGAAAAAATTCTTTACTCAGAATTAGCCTACTTCTGACTCATTCCACTAAATGAGAATTTCTGAATTGCTGAAGATCAGCATCCCTCGTGATTCAATCAATAACCTATCAGCTCCACAGACAGCATGGTGCCTGCAAATTGACGCGGTGTTTGTCAAAGAGACCAAGGGAGGAGGCAGAACATGGTTATGAGTTGCAAACCAACTACAATATAGCACGACTCAGCTTGCATTGGCATATAAGTTATGAAGGTTACACAAGAGAAGGCTGACTCAGACAGCCACACCCTCTACTATCAGCAGCTATGTGCGACATAGCGTTAAGAAGCGGTTAGAGGGAATAATGTGTCAGCTTATTTAGAGTGTATTGTAATGACTTCTAAGTTCAGAAAAGGAGTAGACGTCCGCAAACATCTTGTGCTGTGCGATGATGTGTTCGGTTTACGGGGAGTCGGGGGATGTGCAACACTGATGAGTCGCGATAGGGCGAAACCGCCGCCTAGTGCCGTTCCGAGAACGTGGATGACCAGTTGAGTTGGAAATAATTCGGATGAAAGCAGTGAAATTACATCAAAAACCCAACGCTCGTCAAATGTAACGGTTGTAGGTCCAAGGAAACGAGGTACAACACACCCCAGGGACACGATATCTGTTCCACGCTGCCAAACCTTCCCCTCCGATAACACAGTGTGCTCAAATCATCTGCCCTTCACTGTGGAGGGAATGAAGCAAATCGCGGAGAAGTGTGCGTGTGTATGTTGTTGGTCAGAATCGATATTTCAGACAACTGTCACAAGGCCTTAAAGCGAAAAGGGTTGATGATGAGCAGCAGAAAGCAGAGGCAGGATTGCTTGTGAATGAAAGCTTTGGTCAAGATATTGTATCCGCAAGGGGATACTCAGAGCGAATGTGATGAAATACTGACGATGATGCTCAAACAATAAAGTGCATTAATGGGTAGGGTTCCTATGGAGGTGGATAGAGGAATAGTTATAGTGGCCTATGGTTTCATGTAGAATGTATCGCAAACCAGATAGTAGTGTCAGCATTGAGTTGAGACACATTGAAGCGCACTTTCCACCGCCTCGCGCGGTATTGCCGTGCACAACTCTGATCAATGTGTATATGAAGCAGCGAGCTAAATCTGCATCCAGCTTCTGAGAGGATATTTCATGAGACTGGGTCAAATTGCAGTGGATTCTACTACAATGTTGGCCGTGACCGTACGACTAAAAAAGTTTTCTTCGGTTGGAGTTGGAAACATGAACAAACTAAATCGATTACGAAAAACGGAAAGTGAATGAATAATAAGTAGACAGTGTCTTAGAGTCGGAGCATTACTTGACATTGTAAATGCCAAATGAATGACGCACATGTGAAACTTAGTCCGCCGAGGCTGCTGCAAGTGCAGCGACATGGAACATGAACCAGGTCGATGTCGTAGACAGCGGCGCCGCATGTGTTCGTAATGGCGTCGTGGTGGTAGTATTGTCGCTGGTTACTTGTGAGAGCAAAAAGCCCCTTGGCGACAAGTTTTACAAACAGCGTGCCATAATATGAGCCAACGAACGGAGACGTTCGATAGAGTGTGGTTCGTGATAAATGTAGGAAACCACTTTCAGCGAGAGAAAGAGAGAGAGAGAGAGGTAGTATGCTACTGTTCAACATGCCGTTCTGGACACATACAATGCATTCAAAGTCGGGGAAACCAGAACCGGGGTGCCCTAAATCAACGAGACAGTTAGATATGGTTTCTCCTCACGCATTTCAAGTCCCCAAATGGAAATCGATATGAGGCATTAGCTGAAGTTCTGCTATACCGCCAGTTAGACGATACATGTGAGGACGATGTAATGTTACGCACAGAAGATACAACGCAGCCCAAATGTCCCAAAAGAATGCCATCTACACATGAAGTGTCCAGTATCCTTATTGATCTGACAGTCACTGTTTTTCATGTATACCAGGTGCGGAATGAGGTGTAATCGTCGCGAAAATCCCGAGGACAGCCTGTCTGGCGTCTGTTCTACGCTGACTAGTCCGGGAATGGGGGCAAACAGTCGAGCGATGACTTGTCGACAAAAGTAGGCCGATGAGAATTCGTTGATATGGCAAAATAGGAAGAAGGATACGTCGCGTTTGATTAGTTCACTTCAACGCCCAAATGCGGTGGAGCCAGTTGCGTTGACTCATATTTTCTAAGTAATAGTAGCATCAGGTCATCGGCTTGTGGCACTACTGAGGTGTTAGTACGTTGGGCACACGGATTCTCTCAATACTGTGCTACAGGATTTACTTGATTTTATTATTCGCTAGTGAAATAACCGACGCATTGATGGTATTAAACAGATTATTAAAGTAGTGTTCTTTCTCTCATCATACAACCAAGTCGTCTTGGATAACGGGCTACATGTCTGCTAGTCCCAAACGCCACTGCCAACATTGAATTACAACGTATTTGTCGGAATATTTTCCGCTGGTCACTCTGGAAATGCGAACCAAAGTTTCCCCTAAACTAAACACATTTCGCTCAGCTATACCTGGACTCTGTAAGTCCATATCAGTCACAAATCATTTCAACTTTTAAGTTCATCGTTTTCTCTGTAATTTCCTATAAAATGTGATATTTCCAGTACAACTAAATTAATTACATTTATTTGCTTTATGGCCTTCAAGACTGCAACTTGTCCGACGTGACGAGATGTTTGTTATTAAAGAGCGGAAAACCAAAATTCTTTGGAATTGCTGAACAATCAGTTTACATGAACAGTTCTGAATGGAATCTGCATATAATGATCGAACGAGATACACCGGATCATGTCCCATATATATATACATATATAAGGCGCAATCCGATTTCGAATTCGCCTGTCACTGTGGTCAGCCACAGTGGAGCGAGGTTCCAACCAAATGCAATGTAAATGAGCGTACAGAAAAGAACACCGTGGAAGCTCACCTCAAGTATGTAATTTTTAACACTAGTGAGTTGGAAATCTAAATGATCCACATTAACGGGGTAGAAGCGTTCCGTTGCGGTCCACCAAAATGGTAACGGCATCACCATCCCGAATGTTGGATATGGGGCCCGAAGTACGGGTATCCGCAGGCTGGGAATTGACTGGAACCTCCAAATGGTGTCATCGAGAAGCAGTTTATCAAGTGGAGTCACATCCTAAAGGAAGAGAGTATATAAGAAATAGCAAAAAGCAAAACGGTCGGATGACGAACAAGCCTAATGCGGTATATTGAGATAAAAGAGGAGACTCGGAATAAACATAAAATAAATTTAAATACTAACTACTGGAGTTCAGATCGATTGTCATATAAGTGTGTAAACAGCAAAAACAGGTAGACGGTCTAAAAATAGCCAGACAAATCTGTCTCCGTAAATTTTGACAGCAACTATCCCATATGAAAGGGAAATCAAAGCTAGTAGGATACATTTAGGAGCAGAGCAGGAAGAGATTAATAGGCAAACATCAATCCGGTGACAACCACGCGCTCGACGAAATCAATCGGTAGGCTGAAGCTAACTTGTGTAAGGGATGGAGGCATGTTGCACAAGGCAGAAAAAGAATTTTGGCTTCGACAGGAGAGCACGACATTGATCAGCACCCGGTGACGCCACTGATCCGCAAAGTCTTTTAAGCGAGATTAATTCCAGTCACAGTGTAACCGACAAACCACTCATGACCACTCGGGATTACACCCAAAAGTTAATAACAACCAAGAGCAACCGTTTGGTTTGCCCAAATCGGAATCAGTTCAAAGCCGGGTGTTCACCTCCACAGACGTTCCAACTCGAGAGTTGAGCGGTTTGTTCACTGAAGGAGGTGGTAATGATTCGATATGTACGGTGTAAGCCAACGATTACGTGAGGCAAACTTGCGGCAGCAGCGTACCGCAATAACCTTTCCCGTGCAAACGACAGTGAGCGAAAAAATTTGATGTAAAGCAACAACATAATCAAAAGGATTCATGAGTGTGAATCCGGAAAAACACAGGAAGGTTTCGACGAATTGCCTTGGAAATCTAATCGAAATCCCGCACTTGACTGATTTCTGAAAATCTTTAAGTGACCAAGCCCAGAATGCTAGCGGACGATAGAGGCTCAGCAAGAGATGTCGCGGTTCAGGGGTCAACCCTGTTCTCTGTACGTTGAAAACGACCATGGCGGTTATTGAGCCACGGAGCCGCCATGTGTTCCTTGTGATCGCAAACACAGATTCGTAAGAGCAGGGTAGCGGCCAACAGCCTCACAGGGGACAGATGGAATACGAAATGCTGACGATTCGCAAATTACGATACGGCTAGCAACCGAAACCAGCGGGAGATGTGTGTACGTACTTGTTAACGCTTAACAATAAAAAAATTAGAAAAGGCATGTGAAAAAATAACGAAAAGGGTTCCGTCTTATCTTATTGCGGCACAATGGCCGAAGTAGGTGGCTCACCTACAACTAATGTGCTATAATCATGATGCTGCAGCGACTCCACCTTTTGTCGACTGAATTCCACGGGTTTTGTTTGGTTGTCCACTGTTTTTCTAATTGTGCAGTATCAGTCTGACCGAGTGCAGCTGTGACGAATCTCCTGTGCAAATTTTATCTAAATCTCACCTCTCATCACTGTCTAAACAACATAGTCGCGCATACTGGACCAAAATTTGAATACTGTGCGTATCTCTTGTATCGTCACTTCGATGCCATTACTGATAAGGGATATATTTTGGATTGGAACAATTCCAACATTAAAAGCATTCAGTTCGCTGTATGAATGTGATCCTCAAGTCCATACCGGGCATTATCTTGCCTTCTGTAACTGGACTGCTTTATTACCGGGCGACTGGAAATGCTCAGTCGTAAAGCCAATACTGAAAGGTGGTGACCCAAACAATGTGGATAACTACCTGCATGAGCGCTGTTTTGGCAGACACTTGAGAAGATGGTGAAGAAAAGTCTTCTGCAGATTCTCGAGTCGAAAAGCCATTTGACGCCCGCACAGCATGACTTCGTGAAAGGTTGCTCGTGCATTACCAACCTACTGTTGACGAGGCATGAATGGTTCCAAGTGCTGAACCAAGGCAAGTCAGTCGACGTCATTTACATTAATCTCAGTAAGGCTTTTGACGAGGTGAATCATGCAGTGCTCCACGACAGGCTAAGGGTGTGCGGTGTTGGTGGCTCGCTGCACAAATGGATCAGGAATTTCCTTGTTGATCGAAAGTGGAGGGTCCAGGTGGACAACTATTTAACCGACTGGTATCCATCAAGCAGTGGCGTGCCCCAAGGCACTGTACTGGGGCCGATTTTGTTTCTCATCCATGTAAACGATACGCCTTAGCTACTCCAATCACCTTGTGCGTTGTTCGCAGATGACTTGAAGGTGTGGAGAGTAATCCGCACACCCAATGATTGTGACATGCGTCAGCAGGACCTCCACTGCCTGTCCACGGGGTCTGCAGAGGTCAACCTTCCGATCAACCCGGTCAAGTCGCAATACATGAGGCCGGGTAAGCGTGAGTACAGTAGAACCTACACAGTGGCCGGTCAACCGTTGCATCCCGCGCCTTTCGTATGCGACCTCGGTGTACTCTCACCCTACGACCTAAAGTCCATGGACAATAAGAATAGGATTTACCAAAACAGCCTTCGTAGGCTTTGGCCGCTCAGGCGCAGCTCCAGCACTTGGTCCGAAGAGAATGTCACTCGCTTCCGTCACAATAATACGATCAGTGGTAGAGTATGAGTCTCTCGCGTATTGTCCTATCACCCAGGGCGAGGTAGAAAAGATTGAGCGAGCGCAGCAGGCAGCCACCAAGCTGATTCCCAACTTACGAGGTATGCCGTACTAAGACCGGTGTAAGAAAGTAGGTCTTTACACCCTAGCTTATCGTCGACTGCGGGTTGACCTCATCATCACGCACCGGATATTACATCTGAGTGATTACCCCATGTTGAGGCCGCTGTTTCATCTGCGCACATCAAGCAGCACACGAGGACACTGGTACAAGCTTGCAGTACCGGATTTGAAGCGGGTCGCTCACCAACTCGGTCTCGAACGGAGAGTGGAGCATGTATGGAACAACCTGCCGCAGGATGTAGTTGAGGCAAAATCTGTGTCGGAATTCAAGAAATTCCTAGATATACGCTTTGCCAATATAAAATAGATCGAGCACAATTCAACATAATAGATCTTTGTACCTGAGTGCTCTAAGATGCAGCTACACAGAGATAACTCTTGTTGCTGCTTTCAACCAATAAACAGTAATCAAAAAATGAACGCTGCAAGATAGGACCATTTCAGGTTATCTGATCGCTTGCAAACTAACGACATACATAGATAACATGAGATAAGAAAACGATCGAGTTGAACTTGGTTCGAAAAGAAAGTACATAGACATAAAATAACAGATGGTTGGACTGGGACAAGGGTTATGAACCCCAAGGAAGCTTATTGTGTCGAACCCACGACTGCTTGCGCCCACTAACGGTATTGAGAACACACAGGACAATTCGGAAACTGGCCCCGAGCCAAACTGGCAGTCGAACGTCTGTGAGTACAGCTCCGCCGAATAATTCAAATCAGGACATATACATAGGCTATGCAGAACAACTGACATTTGATCAATCAAGGCTGGTCCATTCAAGGGCGTAGGATCGATATGGTGTCTCATGAACGAGCGGAATACACAGAGTAAGAGAAATGCTAATAAGCATAATATTCAGTGTCAATACAAGCTAATCACAAATGTGAGGCAACTGAAAACGTATTCGGGGAACCGTAAAAAGGGGGCGGAATGAATAGAAGTGCGTGAGGAAAACCCACAAAACAACAACGGGGAGTAGTGGAGTTTTTTTTACCACTGTTAGAACGAAGCTTAAGGGTTACTGTCAGTTGTTTATGTACACAGAGAGTAGGACGACGCCGATTATAGGGGGTCACAGCCTAGGCAATCCTAGGGAGCCTGGCTTGTTCGCTTCGACAGATAACCGTAAACGTCGAGCCAGAGTCAACTTGGTGACCTACATCGAGTAAGTAGTTAGCGACGCATGACTTGGGTAATTTGATGGGAGTTCCTTATCCTGTTACTTGTCAGGTCGTTATTAGGCCGCTTTGGAATATGCTCTCCAATCCGCTTGTTCCGACAATGAGCGGTTCTAGCGATGCAACTGCTCCTGCAGCTATAGACGAATTAGTAGACCGAATGGGTTGTGGCGGGGACCGATTGACTGGAGGCATAAGCAGTTTTCCGGTCGCCCAAATAGGACAGAGTTTGGCAGCGTTGAATGTACGGCGAATAGCTGTGTTCACCTGCTGTTCAATTTGCAACATCACAACATCACCTTTGTAGGTGCGTTGAGCCCATTGGAAAGATACTGTGTGGTCTCTACACATAAGTAATCACTAATGTATGATCCATATACCACGTGTATACGCACAGCTGGCTGAGATAGAGTTCACTTCTCGACCCGGCAATTGTCATGAGGAGGTCAGCCAGTACCCGTCTAAACGGACGTTCAATGGCCACACCATCTACTTGTCGAGAGACCTGATCCTTGAATGAGAATTGCCAATGTATTATACATCACAGCAGTAAATCCATGTAATATTCCAAGGCAAATGAGAAAAGTGCATTTTTATTCGCGATGAACTCATACAAGAACTTCTCTTAATGGAATGGTAATGAACAGGCTGTAGAGATCCATAGAACACTATTCATATTCTGTACACGACGAATCAAATCAAAGTGTAGATCTCTCTCGCACTGGAGCAGACATGTCAACTATCCAACATGTGAACTCGTAGTACCGAGAGTTGTACTTGGAGAGTGGGTGCGATGATCAAGAGCAAAATGACCGTTTTCTCACTTTCATACACTCTCTCATGTAATCTATATATGTTAGTTTGCAAGCGATAAAACAGCACACCAAATGGTCCCATGTTGCAGTGCTCGTCTTCTCATCGTCCTGTACAAATCCCGACATTCATATGCGATGGGATGCAACATTGAAAGATCTGAGAAGCAAAATCTTGCGCTGAGGGAATTCTGAATGCAGTGTCCTACATAAAGAGTTTGTTGCTGAATGACTGGATGCCATGGATGCATGTGCCAACCTTCTTTCGCACACTGCAATTCATGCACACATAGCGGTTCGACACCCAAGCACTTGGGAGCAATGTTGTATTGCTCAATGAAGTGGACCCTTCTGGTAGTGCGTTTGTCAACTGTCAATATGCTTAGTTATAGTCACATGCTCTGCTGCGGACTGTATCACAGTGTCGTGAAGTATGCCAGTGTTACGAATACTATCACTATTATTACTGTTATCATGGTTATGTGCATAAGGGTTATTCTTAACGGTGTGGCGGTCTGCCTATTGAGATGGATTCAATGTCTGTGTAAAGCCAAACGTAAGCATAACTAAGGAACTGTGACAACAATCTCGTGTAGAAAGGGAAAAAAATACTTTCGAATTTCAAGGCACACATAGAAGCGCGAAACGAGACTCGGATAAGATTGTGAGCACAACGCAACCGATAATGGTTGAGTATGGTCAACCGTGAGCACAATGACACCCAGCGAAGAAACACATCCGATGATACCTTGCGATCCCAAGTAGGTTGAATTTCCTCGCGAGCAGGTTGGACAACATTGGGAAGCGGTGGGAACACGGCGGCGGCTGCACCTGGCCGAGCATTGTTCGCATCGAATTCCCGGACTTCGAGCACTCCAGGAGGCTCCAACGGTCTGGGGTTGGAAGGTACTAAGGAGCAAGAGCAAAACATAGAGGGCCCAGTAAAGATCGGCCATAAGTGGAGGTACCCATGAAATAGTAGAACAGCCTAAAAGACGAACCAGATCGAATGGGCTTGCGTGATTTGGTAAGGGGACGGTGAAAAACGATGGTAGACGATTCGGCGGAATATCAGTTAGTGGTGGCACCTGTCGTTTTCCTGGTTGGGGTCATCGGGATCAGATAACCGCTGGTTGCATAAAGCATCAGCGAATGGAGAAATAACGACATCGGTGGCGATCAAGCATTAGCGCTTCTATGTCATAATTTTGACCACTCAGTCCGACAATGTTATTGTTTGTCCACTCAACTTGTATATCATTAGTATTATTGACATAGCTGCGATGTTGGCAACGTTGGAAAATGTCCTCAGCAGCACACCGGTACGCACGCTGTACCGACGCTTCGCTGCCACACAACCGTCACCAGATCGTCCGAACCTACACAATGTGAGTCAAGACGACCGGGTCATAACTGAGTACCGGAACTGTACTCAGTGAGGTGTGAAGAAATATGGGTTCATTGTAATGGACCATAATATGGTTTAGTTGCGAGGCAACCGCCACCAGATCGCTCGAACCAAGGCGACCGGATCATGGCTGATTGCCTGAACTGAAAACAGTGGGGTGTGTAGGAAAGGAGAAACATTTTAAGGAACTGTGGTAGAACAGTTTGTTTCAGTTGATGAGATTGCATGTAGCATGTAATAGCTCATATCAGAAAACAAAACACACAACGGTCATTGAGCACTGGAAAAAATCGCGTCAAACGGGAACGCGAGGATGTTTCCCTCCACAGATGAACGTCACCGCTAATCGATAAAGTGCTGCTTGTCACGTTTGTGAGCTGTCACAGATAAGGGTAGTACTGTCGAGACATTTCAAGTCGATCGCCAAAAAGCAACTCCACACCTCTTAGGTCGAATCCGATAAACGCAGTTCCCATACCTTCGTCAACAGCGAAGATGAAAATAAAAGGTGACAGCGGACACCCTTATCTCACGCACATGGAGAAATTGTAGGTATGCGATAGTTTACCATAAGCCCACACTTTACCCGAGTTACGGGCATACTGCACTCCTGTAATATTTACGTAGTCAACTAGATAATCAAACCGATTGGTGATGAGAACTGGAGGTGCTGTCAGTCCAGTTCTGTAACAGTAATTTGCAACTTGAAGGTGAATAGCATATCCCGAAGTAGAATGCCGAAGACCAGCACATGCAAGTACATGGTCGGTGTCTACACCTGTGCTTCAAATGGACCAACATTTTTCGCACGCAGCCTCTTTAACGGTAACCGATAACAGTGTGATCGATATCGGTCCATGGCTGCTGGGCGCGTGGAACGGCAAAAATCTATGCATGGGAAGAGTGAACGAGAAATTTCACATAAATGTAACAACCGCTCCAAGTTATTATTACGAGAGTCGACGAAAACGTTGGTTGACGTGGCTTAGCAGAACAGAGTGTAATATTCCGTGTTGGGGTAGATGTGCCACCCATTCCGTTAAGTGTGACCAAGGCAACCCAACAAAGTTGACACAGTTATTGTCTTGTTTGTGCTAATGGGTTACTTTAACGATTTTCCAATCTTCATATTTCGGGTAAATAAGCCGAACCATCCATTCACAGGTTTCTTGCTTCCACGTTTACGGTGTCGCAATTTAACATAACGAGGTAAATGCACACGCGGCACAGATAAGGCGGTCAGTGCAATCAGCAATGGCACGTGTGTGTCAACAATTCAAAGTGAAAGTAACTGCGACCGCACCTGAAGTGGATGCTAATCAACTTCGGTCAACTTGAGCGAAACATCATGAGGAGGTGGACGCCAGCGTACATTAGACATGAGTCCAACAGAGACTGGTAGGTACCCAGCTCGTCGATTTGAAGTCAGACTCGCATTGACCAGGTGTCCAATTGTGCGCCGCGTCAGTCCAGTTCAATTCGGTGACTGAGAAGTAGCGCTTGGTGGTGAGTTGATTCACATTGGTCCTCGTTGGTTGGTTGTGGTTGTTATGCAGTGCATGTGCGATAGTCCTCAGGTAGCTGCGTAACCTTTCGCATTGCTTTAACCAGGCTGGTGAAAATGGATGCGATGACCATGCTGCTTATAGAACATAGTTATAGCGGCTGTTCTGTTCGTTATTGAGTTACAGTAAGCTCTAAACCAATCAACAGAGGTCGCTCGCGTATCCCAGATTGGCAACCAATCCCAATGAAGCATGACTACAAGTGTTTGAAATGTATATAACGACAGTCCAGTAGATTGCGGGACCCGTCTCCTAATTTGCTCGAAGCGCACACACTGAAAATGTCACTTTGATTGGTGGCGAAACAGCTGCAATCATATTGTTCAGCTCGAAGAACCAATCAAGACTTCAAAGACAAACTCCAGTTACCGGTAATCTGGGTTATTGACATGTGCCTAGTCGTCCGATGCTGATACCTCGATTCATGACTCAAGGGGACGGCCAACCGCTGCTGGCAGAGATGGGGTGCAGTTTCAGTCTGGTCGAAGCAATAAGTCCAAAGAGTGAAATCGTCACAAAACGAAAAACCGCTCAGCCACGTTTACGGATACGTTTGGCATGCGCGCGCCTCAAACTTCACGAAGTGCATCGATTCAGCTATTGATCCCTATGGTGTGGGTAGCTAGTACAGTCTTCGAGTGATGGTGTGACTACTGGGCCTTGTCAAGCGAAATCACGTACCTATAGGTGTTCATGGAGCATCGACTGGCCTTGAAACAGTTGTATCTCCCAATGGCATGTCCCCTGGTGCCATCCCATGGGATCAGCATCGGAAACGGGGTGCACAAATGAAGCCATGTATTGCTATGTTATTATCCCCATTATCTAGGGCAGTACAACAGTAAGGTGAACGGATGCCTTCCTGTTATAAATCATGATGACTAAGGAAAGGAGGATTAATAAGCCGGCGGGGGAGGATGGGGATCTAGTGAAGAACATTGGCGCTCTAAACAAACACAGGGTCAAGGTGCGTATGCCTTGTCATTAAGAACGTCACAAACAACTGCCTATCGTAGGATAGTAAGGATGCATTGGCGAGACAGCGTTCACGCAGCTCTCTGTTGTAAATCAGTCTGTCCCCACCTGATGTTCCAATCCAACCGGAAGTAGGAAAGCAAACGCCAAGGCTCAAGTGGTCACTGTGCATCAAGGAGTGAAAAACGATTATATCTATAGATTAAACACTAGTGTTTTGGTATTGATTTGCCAGTTTTCTATCCCCTGACTGACTGGTTATCAATCGTATCATATTGGACGCCTGTCACGTTGTTGTTGTACACTATAAGTGGCTATCAGTTCGCACGGTTATAAGTAGGCGCCAACGCGGTGTATGACCGGCTGATTTCGTCAGGTTCGCACATCATGATCGCTAATGTAGTCGGCAAAAAAACGACTTTATCAACTTCTCACGCAGCCGGCCATAGGCACGCTCAGCGCCATGAGGTCGTTTCTGTGTTCGTCCGGTGTGGCCACCGAAGACTCAAAGTCACACATCACATCACGACTACGAGACGACTGCATAAGCGCACTGGTACCGACTGCGAGCCGTGTACTGTGTAGCTACGAGTCAAGCACAAGGTGAGTCGTGTGAACTCCATCCTGGAAGGCGATACGGACTAACAGCCCCCAGATTTTTAGTCAATGACTTCATTTCCCATTGGCAAGTCAATTTTTGCCCACTTAAAGCTATTCGTCATCCGGCAAACAAAACAAGGTGCTTCTCAGCAAGTGATAATCGGGCATAGGTAGACCGCACCCAACCCAACGCAACTTATTCAAAGTGATTCGTTATTCCAAAAAGAAATGGAATAACGATCGCTGTCTAGCACTCGTATGCGAACATCTTTGTGGGCAAGCCGATGTCATCCAAACCCAGTAATGCTCCGCAGGCAAAGATGACCAAGAAATTAAGAGAACAGATTATTATGCTGCTGCGATGAAGTCTCGCTGCCATAGAAGAGAATTGTTCTCACTGTGAAGTGGTATACGCGGTTCTGCAGACTCAAGGAAATCCTGTTCTGAAGCCATACATGTCGCAGCGTGGAAGGTTCAGTCCGAGATTTTGAAACAGATCAACTAAACCGCATTTACGTGCCTGCCGCTGCTAGCGCAGCTGTCAAGCTAAGTGAAGCGATCAAACACAGCTAATTCGTAGTCAACAATCATGGGAGTATCAAGTGGCTGGTGGTTTCGAATTGCACGCCCCGCTTGGACACAGCGCTCTTAGTCGGAACAAAGATGCGATCCTTATGGAGTGTGCCCGTGCGAACAAGTGGCTGGTTGAATTCGCATAGACCTACCTGGAGTGACTTGGGCGACCAACACGACTCCCTCACTTTAAGGAGAATAAAATGGACACCGCATGAATACTCGCGATCCAGAGAAAGAGAGAGAGAGAAGTCCATGATCTTCAGCGAAGTGTATATTGCTCACGCGAAGATCAAGTGACCAGGGGCGGCTGGAATCGATGCGGTATCGATGGACTGGGGGCTAAGCAGATGATAGCCGAGCAAGCACGACTGATCCGGCTCAGCGCAATAGAAAAATAGCACGCTTTCGGAAAGCGGATTGGCCGAGCGTATGGCAAGTGGATGACATACGCCTGAGATCATTGTAGCAATACGCGCAGCTGTAGCAGATGGTCAACCGAGAAAGCATCAGCCGAATAGACGAATAACCAACCAGACGCTACTCATGAGAAGTGTCCACGCGGACCGAACCCGGCCCAGCTCAATGGAAAAATAACACGCCGTCGGAAAGCGGAAATGCGGATTGGTCGGCTGTACGGCAAGTGGATGGCATATGCATGAGATCATGACAGCAACACAGGCAGCTGTGTCACATATCCAATCGTGGGATCAGCGACGAAATGAGCGAACGGACAATCAAACGCCACTGTGTAGTCTATCCGTGATGGCAACAGCGAGGCCCAGTGT